AATCTTTTTTAAAAGAAAAGAAATGAGGAAAGACTAAAAAGGATTTGAGAAAAGTGATGGACAGAAAAGAACAACAAGGAAAGGCCAGTGTTTATATAATAGGAGTCTCTGATAGAGAACACAAAAGGAACAGAAAATACTAAAATCTGTGGTCAAGAAAATTTCCTAAAATAAAGCAGACTTGAAACTCATCCTACAGAGGCACCCAGCATAGCCGAGAAAATCAACTCTGACAAAAGAAAACACATTCTAATAAACTCTTGGCCTATAAAGAAAAAAAAATTGGACAAAAGTGTAATAAGTCACTCAAGGGGGAAGAAAAGAGTTGAAATTTTCATCAGACTTTTCAATAGCAACACTATGCCAGAAAACAATTGAATAACTTTTAAAATGCCCTAGGGAAGTGTGAATCCAGGCTTTTTCCCCTTTGTGACTTTGTTTTTGACTACTTTGAGGTATAATTGATATACAAAAAAACTGCACATAGTTGTAACAATTTGATGAGTTTGAAATGTCAAAGATTTTTAAGAATTTTAGGGTTTTTCATCACTAATTTCAGAAAAATCAAAAGATTACACAAGAAAGATAAAACTATAATATACTTCTCAAATCACTGAATTATAATTCCAAATGTAAAATTTATCCCCAGACTGTGGTCTAACAATACTGAGAACATGAAGGGAGTAGCTGGTATAACAGTGCCGAGTCCTCCTCTTCCGTAATAGGAAGTCAGTATAATGCCTCCAATCAGGAAATAGCAGTATAGGCTTCCCCCCACCCCCCGCAGAAATGTGGAGATGCAGAAAGAGGCAAACAGCTAGAAGAGCTGAAAGAACTTGCCTCTGGGAAGGATAACTTGGAGCAGAGGAGTACTTCAGTTTTTATTATAAGCATTGTGATACTGTTTTACTTTTTAAACTGTGTGTTTGTATGAGTTAAAATTGAAAACATACATAGAAAATGGGAAATTCCTTGTGATTAGGCAATGAAAATAAAATCTCAGATCAAAAGCATAAGGTGAAAATATTGCTGGACTCTATTACATCACAATTGAAGATGTTTGTCCAGTGAAAGCTTTGTTAATGTGGATTAATAGGTGGTGCCTCTTAGTGAAAGATATTTGCAATGTTTAACACCAATAAGGGATTAATTTCTGGAATATTAAGAAACTCTTACAACTCTATACGGAAAAGATTAGAAATCCAGTTGAAAAACTGGCAGATGACATGAATAAGTAATTCCCAGAAAATGAAATCCTGATGGTCAACAAGCATGTGAAGAAATGTCCAACCTCATTAGTAAAAAATGAATAATTTAAAAATTATCACTTTATACACACCAGATTGTCAAAAATTAAGTAAGGTAACATCAAGGACATGAAGAAACAGGCAGCTTCACACACAGGTAGTGGAAGTATAAACAGATACAGCCGTTCTGGAGAGCAACATGGCATTGTGGAGTGGACAGACATTTATTGCTACAAAGGGTGCCAGGGAGTTGGAAATGGGGGAAAGATGGGTAACATGTGGCTGATGTGTGCTCCTGGGTACTCACATACCCTAGAAACCACACTCAAACTATCTAATTTACAGGGATATATACATACCCAAGGACCTGTATAAATCCTGTTAGACTGGGTGCCAGATCTCATGGGGAAGGATGGAGAGTGAATCATCAGGGATGAATGGAAAAAGCAGTAAGACAAAATAAAACCAGAGTGGGGCCTCCACCAACCTCTGTGATGATATTTCATGGACTAAATGTTAACTCAGTTTTGTGTACCTAAGTTTCCTCCCCGAAAATAAAATTTACTTCATGTTTTTTAAAAGATGGAATCAATCTACAGGGGGATGCTTGGGCAGTTAAGTGTCTGCCTTCAACTCAGGTCATGATCTCAGGGTCCTGGGATTGAGCCCCTTGTTGGACTCTCTGCTCAGCAGGAGCCTTTTTCTCCCTCTCCCTGCTGCTTCTCCTGTTTCTACTCTCTGTCTCTCTCTGTCAAATAAATAAAATCTTAAAAAAAAAAAAAACTTTAAAAACATCTTTAAAAGATGGAGTGAATCTACAATTATATCAAAATAATTGAAAGTTTAAAAGAAAAAGCATTTCTAAAAATTTAGTTTAAAAGAAAGGTTTATATGAGGTAAAGACTTCTTGTCATTTATCAGTGGTAAAATTCTTATCACCAGTGAGGTTTTAAGCTTTTACCAGGGGTCGTAATTGGTTCCGCTGTGCTCTCACAGCTTCTGTTAAAGACCTTTTACCTTCTCCAGTGATAGCTTGAAGTCCACAACACGGACAAAATTAGAATAGAGAAGAGCCCTTCTTTCTGTCCACCTCTTTAAATGTTGAGTTTATAGTTAATTCTCAGTTTACTCCAAACTGTCACATAATCTAAAACTCTAATTTGGGTCCATGCTTTAGGTTTAATGCTCCTTTTCCTAGACTTTTCTTCTTCTTTTTCTCCTCCTCAAACTACCCTTGGGGGAAGTATTAGAAACCAAATACTGACCCGGAGGCAGAAAGGGGATCTTAGAAAAATCAGAAGCCAGGTAATCTGGACCCTAGGAGTGGATCCAAGAATCTTTCTGTTACTGTTCCTCTCTCCTACACCAAAAACAAATCCAAAATCCTACAGTGTTTTGCCTAGAGGTCAGTGCCATCAGAATCATGATCTTTAATTATGTTCTATTTTATACTGTCCTTTGTTGACATCAGCAAAACATGGACCCCTTACTCTTTAGTAGTACCTCTCACCCCTTCCCACGGTTTAATGAGCACCTACCAGTTGGTTGGCTGGTCAGTTAAATCATACTCTGCAAAAGCATTTTTCTTTCCCAGCATACTCAGTTAAAATTATGACATCCTGAGTAGATCTCTGGGAGGGAATAAAAGTATATAATACATTTGTCAACAATTTCTTGGGTATTGTCAAGAATTACTGTTAACGTTTGTTGTGGCTACCGTTATTATTACTGATATTCCAGACCTGTCAGTTATCCCTTAGAAGAAAGAAGGAAGTTACCTCCCTTAAGCAGTTGATCAGTTCTCTTGTTGTGATAAAAGCCTCCAGAGCAAATCAGTAAACTAACTTTGCATCTTTTGCCATAATTTTGAACAATCGAAAAAATGCTAAAAAATTTACCCTGAATAGTCCTCAAAGAGCAAAAAATAAGAGTAAAATTTGGTACACAAGAGAAATACTGAGCAGGATTTTATATGATATTAACAAATTAGGTACTTGTATTTTTATCACAGGCATGGAGGCCCCTAGTCTTGACCTAACCATGCCTTGTGTAGTTTTGGGGTTTTTTTTTAGGAGTATATTCTACATGTTTCTAAATGATCAAACTCTGAGAGATGGCAGAATCAGACAGACGTGGGCTAGAATTTTAACTCCACAATGAATTGTATATCCATAAGTAACTGAGTCTCATCTCCTTTATCTACATGAGGAAATATTACCTGTCTTTACAGGGGTATTGCCTCCATTAAATGAGATGACGCATGTGGAGTACTGGCACAATGTCCCCTCGTTGGTCAGGGCTCAGGCCATACGGGAGCAATTTTACAGTTAGTCTGAGGGTGGTCTCTGTTCTAGATGCGGTAGAGTCAGATCCTAGTGCTGCTTTGAAGCTTTTGTGGGGTGTAAATCATATATCCCAATTGAGAAGAGCAGAATTTATTTTTAACTTAAATTTTAAAGCTTTGAATAGTCCCTTTAGTTTTTTTTTAAGATTTTATTTATTTTGGTGGGGGGCAAAGGGAGAGGGAGAGAATCTCAAGCAGACTCCATGCTGAGTACAGAGCCTGACGTGGGGCTCAGTCTCACGACCCTGAGATCATGAGCTGAGCCAAAATCAAGAGTCAGACGCTTAATTGACTGAGCCACCCAGGCACCCCTGAACAGTCCTTTTAGCTTTTTATTATAAGATAGTCTCAACTAAAATACTACTAGTACTTCATAACAGCATGTCATCAGAATTCACATATTATTGGAATAGAATAGAGTTCTTACTAGTTTAAATCAATCACACATATAAAATAAGTAATTAGCCAAATTTGTTTTCAAAAGTAACTATGTTCTGAATGCTTACTCTGTCAGCACTGTTCGGAAGGCTTTTTTTATGTTCACATACTCATTTAACCACCCCATGAAGTAGATACTATTATTCATCCTATTTTATAGAAAGAGGAAAGTAAGACACAGAGAAGTTAAGTAATTTGTCCCTAGGCTCACACAGTGGAGTAGAAGAACAGTTAATACAATTCATTTATTATTAAAACATTCTAAGAGTTAATTTGGAAAGGAGAGGATATCCTGGAGAGCTGCAGTCTACATGGACTTACCACCAGATAGGACAGACAAGACTTAGAGAACTTTACTGGGTTTGCAACAAGAAGTTTCAGGCTGCCATCTGTCTCTAGAATAATACGGGTGTATGTTTGTCTATTCAAGGGTAATACCACCTGCTTCCATAGGAGGAAACAGATTCATTAAGCATATTCTTTGTTCTTGGTCCCAGAAAATAAAATTACTTGATTTATAGCCAGGACAAGAATTTTCAGTTACTCTTTGTTCTTCCTAAGAAGGTATAAAAGCATATTAAATTTCTCTATTTGTAGAGGTACAAATATGTAGCAGTTCACTTAACTCTTTGCTGAAGAATAATTTGAAGAATTTCTAAAAATCCTGAATCAAAATCTGTGAGCAAAAATAAAAAGCTACAGTTCATAACTTCTCAAATGGCATTCAAGAACAATTACCATATAACTTCTTACATTATTTTTAGCTTAACCTAGCTCTATATTGCCTAATAAAAATATGCAAAGAGCATAAATTACAGAAAGATGTGAGAAATGAAAATAATTCATTCCACTTCTATTTAGAAAACATCCTAGTAGATCATGTGGCACCCAGAGATTAACATTACAGAAATCCTTTAAATAATTGATGTTTTTAATCATTGGTGTATGTTTTTTGTCCCTTTGTTTTGCAGCGCAAGACCCATCAGTTTTTTGTCAAATCTTTCACTGCCCCTACCAGATGTCACCAGTGCACCTCTCTGATGGTGGGTTTGATAAGACAGGGCTGTTCCTGTGAAGGTAAGAACAAAATGGCAGGAGAGTGGGACGTTAGAGTCCTAGCATTGGCTCCCTAACTGTAATCACATAGCTGTATTCCCCTTAAACAATATATAAGTGCTTGTTCTGCTTTTTTCTGATAACAGGAGTACAGATAATAAAGCAAGCACCTTGCTACATGTTGAACAGGGGAGAAACTAGACGGCCCTTAGAAACATTTTTCAGGGGAGACCTCTGTCAGTTGGCTCATTCATCTTTGTTTCATTATTCGGGTGAATTTGTGGTTCTGGGAAAGCATTAAGCTGAGCGACAGAAGACATAAAAGTTATCCTTGAGTCTGTTCGTTTAACTTTCACCTTGCTTAATTTCTCTAATAAGAGAAATCATTCTTCAGAAGTAGGCAGTTCAGTATCTTTTCAGAAATATTAAGTGTCTGCCACTTTTCCTCAGAAAGATATTTTATTCCCAGTATTCATATCAGCGGATTCTCCCTACCGCTCATTGACTCATTGATTCATCCATCGTGCGTTCATGGAATGCCTGTCCTGTACTTCTAGACACCGTGATGTAGTCGGGGTGGGGAGAAGGCTGGGAGCCTGCCCTCAGGGAGCTCACATTCTGAGAGATGAGAGATCAGGGGCCATTTGAACAGAAAACAAAGTATATTTGGGCACTACTTTATTTTTCCTAAGACTTCTGAAATGAAAATGACTTAATTATAATGGGATATACTGTTTGGAAATAGTTTGGGAATATGCTTTTTTTAATCAAATGAAATTTATCACTGTAACAATGCCTTATGTATCATTTACTGATCTGTCTTATGAGAAAGATAAAATAGTTGCTAGTTCAAATTCTAATATGAGTTTCCATTTCTTAGCCTTTAGGGTTGGAAGGGACTTTGCAGGGAAGGTCATCAGTGCACATCAGAAGCAGGCATTCCCCTTGTAGAATGTGCTTGTAATTTGTATTTGGTCGCTTTGAATCAAGGGGCTGTTAATGGCATCTTAAGGCAGTGCATTCTATGTCTGATTAGCTCTCACAGCCAAAGTAGAAGCCCCAGATTGCATCGTCTCAGCTAGTCGTGTAGATGCATGGGTTTAGAGCCAAAGCAAATGGTCTAGGGTTGAAAAGTAGATTTGAGAGTTGTGAGCATACAGAGTGATGAAGGGGAATGGCGTTTTCCAGGAAACACGCAGAGTGAAAAGAGAGCAAGTATGAGGACAGAGCCTTGGGAAACAGCTCAGGGGAGGTGAAAGGTAAAGACAGCAAAGTAATCTGAAAAAGGAACAGCCTGTGTCATTGACCAGGAAGGTGTGATGGAAGCCAAAGGAGAGAATTTGTACAGTTTTTAAGCCTTGTCCCATTTTGGATTTAGCCAGTACTTATAAGTGTCACTTTTAGGGGCGTCTGGATGGCTCAATCGGTTAAGCATCCAACTCTTGGTTTTTGGGTCAGGTCATGATCTCAGGGTCCTGGGATCAAGCCCTGCATCAGCTCCATGCTCAGTGGGGAGTCTGCTTCAGGATTCTCTCTCTCTCCCTCTACCCCTCCCCCAGCTCTCTCTGTCTCTAAAATAAATAAATCTTTAAAAGAATAAAATACAAATAAAAAATAAATGTCATTTTAAAATCTGTTTATCAGAAAGAATCCTGGATAGCTACCTGGTGTTAGGTTCCTCATCATTTCTTATGCATCAGATTCATTTGCAATTATATGGTAGGGGTTTTTGAGATCTCCTCAACCCCTTTCTAGAGTCTTACATCATGAGATTGTGCGTTTCTTTCCTGAAGACCCTTTTCCTTTTTTAAAGTTTTTTTTTTTTAAGATTTTATTTATTTATTTGATAGAGGGAGACACAGCAAGAGAGGGAACACAAGCAGGGGGAGGGGGAAAGGGAGAAGCAGGCTTCCCATGGAGCAGGGAGCCTGATGCAGGGCTCGATCTCAGGACCTGGGACCATGACCTGAGCCGAAGGCAGATGCCCAACGACTGAGCCACCCAGGCACCCCTTTCCTAAAGACCCTTAGTACCCTGCCCTCTATAGTGTGGGGACACATTAGACCTTTCATAAGGTCTTTCATAAATGTTATGGTAATGTGGTTACAGCCTCCAAAGATTCCTATCATTTTAATTTCTTCCTGGTTGATTGAAGTTAGATCCTGTATAGGACAATTATTTTGTTGCTTCCTCTGCTGTTTGGAGCTGAGATTTTTGCCTAATTAGTAAAACAAATTATAACTTGTTAGACACTCTACTTAAAAGTGAACAAGATGTCTTATAGAAGTTTGGTAGTTTTGACAGTCAGTACTAGTTCATCTTGTCCCTCTGGTGGTTTCATAATGCCTATCAGTGGTGTATGATACTTTTTCCCGTGTGCATGCATTCCCTGATGGTATCCCTTCAGGCCCTCTCTTAATCTTTCCCAAATATTCTGCAGGACTGACCCTTAGAGTAGAAATTGTCTAAATGGCTATCCTTAGTTTGCAGCCCCTTCCAACAAGTTTGTTTGTTTTAAATATTTTAACTTTTTGAAGATTTTATTTGTTTATTTTAGAGAGAGAGAGTGAGTGGAGGGAGGGACAGAGGGTGAGAGAGAATCTCAAGCAGACTCCCTGCTGAGTGCAGAGCCCGGTATGGGGCTCAATCCCATGACCCTGAGATCATGACCTGAGCTGAAATCAAGAGTTGGAGGCTTAACCAACTGAGCCACCCAGGCACCCCCTAAATATTTTAATTATCACTAACCAAGTCTCAGTGAAACTTATACATTTATTTTTGTTTATCCTGTTTCTTGGAGTCTCAAGTTCATCATACGTGTATCAGGTAGAGGTATCATGGTAGCATTGTTGGTAGGGCGGGCTCTGGGCCCGACTGCCTGGGTTTGAATTCTAGCAATGCCACTTAGGAGTCCTGTGACCCAGGGCAAGTCCATCATAAATAGGAGTAGCTGTACTTCTCTTAGATTGTTACAGAGAAATGTACTCAATAAACTTGACCATTGTTATGATCTTAGTCATAGCTGAAGTATCTATGATGATAAAAATTAACAAATCCTAAAGTTTACCCGTGATTTATACCTTTTTAATCGTTAAACAATTTCATTTTCAAAAAGAGGGATTGGTAAAGTTTGCCAGACACTGCAAAGATGTCAGGTAATTTTATGTCCATTAGTGACCCTGGCAAGAGAAACTTTCAGGGCAGATAACCAAGTTGCAGTGAGATGAAGAGTTAGAACTCTGGAAACTACTTTTTGGAATGCCAAGTTTAAATCAACTGTTGTATTCACAAGCTTAGATTTTTTTTTTCTATGTATTGGCTGCTCTTGATTACTAATGTTAACACAAAACAATATTACAGTAATAAAAATCTTTACAATTTCTCATTGAAATTCTTATTAGTAAGCAAATGAATCAGCTCCCCAAATGACAAAACAGTTCTTTGAAACAAAGCCACAGATAAGCGTTCATCTACTATATATAGCCCCTTGTATATAATGAGTGCTCAGTGAATTATCTTTTTGTAAAAGTGAATTTTTATTGACCATTGTTTTTCCCCCCCTTCAAAAGTGTGTGGATTTTCATGTCATATAACTTGTGTAAACAAAGCTCCAACTGCTTGTCCAGTCCCGCCTGAGCAGACAAAAGGGCCTCTGGGGATAGATCCGCAGAAGGGAATAGGAACAGCATATGAAGGTCATGTCAGGGTAAGTCTGATTAGGTTGGGTTTAGATTAATCTTTTGAGGTTGATTAAGGACTGAAAATAAAGTCCAGTCGCCTTACAAACATACTCCTTGCCAGAAAAGCAGGCGAATAAAATTCATCTAATAATTTTATTTCATCCAGAGTGATTTGAAAACAAAAACCTGGCCTTTGCTTGGAAATAAATTCCAAAATGTCTTACAGTTTTCTGTACTGTCCCTATTTTGTAACGAACAGATGTTGGAATCTCCCTAAAGGAGTCTTTGGCACCTGGTCTTCCTGGAGATGCAGTGTATGCCTATGATGTATGAGATGTTATCAGGGGGTATTCTTACTTGTAATCCTGAATAACATTTAAAGTGTAAGCTACATTTCATCATACTCCCAAATTTGACTTTTATGCTACTAAGAAAGAAATCCATGAATGTTATTTTAATGAATTATTAGTGAAAGCTAAAATGGTACCATTTAAAAATTTTTCAGAATAAAAAGTCATACAATATTTGAAGAATGTATTCTTACAGTTTCTCATATTATCAGTGATCTGTGTCTTCCATCTGCACTTGACCCCCCCCCCCGCCAGAGCGGCAGACTTAGGACACGTGTACATTATCTTTAGGTTTCCATCGTGCAGTTACATAGGTAACTAAGGGGGCTGTGACTGACATTTTAGTTTGAGTTGTTTCTGTTTCCCGAAGATCCCAAAGCCAGCTGGAGTGAAGAAAGGATGGCAAAGAGCATTGGCTGTGGTTTGTGACTTTAAACTCTTCCTGTATGATGTTGCGGAAGGAAAAGCATCTCAGCCCAGTGTCGTGGTCAGTCAGGTGATTGACATGAGGTAAGCTTTCCAAAGTGAAAATATTTGTGTCTTTGTGACATAGGAATAAAAAAGTGTCTGGTTTTTCATCTAATTACATTGCCATATTTTTATTTAAATCTGATTTCATATTAATAATCGAATTTACTAATATTGCCAGAGTAATATAATTAAAACCAGGAAGCAAGGTGTCGTTATAGGATTTGTTGATGTGTGTTGAGTGAGTGAGTTGGGGTTCGGGCTTAGGGAAAAGAAGCTAATGTTTGAATCCAAAAGACCAGCATAAAGATGGCTAGGGTGACGAAGGCCTAATATGTCGTCTTGTCACCTGAAGGTATGAATCGTAAATCCAGTGTGAGGAAAAAAATCCCAGAATCAGATAGGTTCTTAGAGTATGTAATGAGCCGGGAAACATTTGAATGAGTCCACCTCTTGAATATTTCTGGTCTCACTCTTCAGGCCCTTCCCCTGCCCCGTGGAGTGCTCTCCTTTACCTCTTCTTGTAACTCCTGTACTCCCTTGGGGTGATTTATGAGCCCCCAGAGCTTCAGCTGTCACCTCTGTGCTGATGACTCCCACACAGGCCTCCCTCCAGCTCTTTCTCCAGCACTCAGAACAAGCATTTCCAGCCATGGCGCACACTGGCATTTCATGCCAGCACCTTAGACACATCCTCTTCCCCCAGATACAGAGTATGAGGAGACAGGTGCAGGAAACATTAGCAACGAAAAGTCCGACAGAGCCTGCTCAGGGAATTGCTATAGAAAAAGACAGGGAGAGGAAGCAGAGACGAGACTAAGGCGTCAAGTCTTCAAGACCAAGAGAATGATGGCACTAAGAATTAGGAAGTCACAAGGAGTAAATTATTGTGGAGGATTTCTGTTTCAGATGTTGACGGAAGAGTGAAATGTCAGATATGCTATGTTACGGGCTTGTGAGCTGTGTTGTGGGAGACAAGAGGGTGTGTTGTTCTGGAGGGTTCCGATCCCTCATCTGCATGTATGGGTACTGGCCTTGCAGCTGGAGGCAGCAGTCATTGCCAGCCCTGTGTAATTGCCACTGCTAAGTTACCCCTTATAAATTCCTCTGGGCACCATCAATTACAATGGCGAAAAAATCAATTTTTTTAAATTCAATTTGGACGTTTTGTGCAGTGAAGTTTTGAGCATTGTCCCATGTGTGTTATTTGGATGCACACTAAATACAACATACATACCCACATACACTGACTTTTAATGTTGCGTTTTTCCTTCAGGGATGAAGAATTTTCTGTGAGTTCAGTCTTGGCTTCTGATGTTATTCATGCAAGTCGAAAAGATATACCCTGCATATTCAGAGTGAGTATGTGTGCTGTAATTTGATCACTGAATTATGTGTTCTTAGTGAATATATATTTTTGTCTCTGTATATAGATCATAAACTTACTAGGAAATATTAAATCCTATATTCCTTAATGTGTTTTGTATCATCCAGTACTTGAATGTATAGACAATTAGTGCTAAGTAAATATTTCATCAGTAAAAGACCCGTAGAAAGCGTGAATATTTGGCTTCTAAAATAGTTTCATGTTGGGTGATACTTTTGAGCCACAATTCACATTCCAAATAAATATACCACATGGAAAATTGAGTAAGTGTGAGGTTTCTCAAGTTTTTGAAAAATAGAGGTTTCTTTTTAAAATCTCATTTAAAAAATTAATGTTTTATTTCATTGCTTTGTAATAACTACTCCAAAACTTAGTGGCTTAAACCAGTAATGATTTATTTTTTACCATACTGTGGGTCAGTTATCCAGTTGGAGTGGGGTTGAGTAGGGTCACTCCTGTGGCTACATTCGGCTCATTTGGGGCTGGAATATCCAGAATAACCTTGCTTCCATATCTGGGGCCTTGCTGCTGGCTGTCAGGCTGGGCGATCTCTGCTCTCTTTGTGAACTTTCTCCATGTGGTCTCTCATTCAGTCATCGGCTGAGCTCTACAGGGCTGGCCTCCACAAGAACAAAAGAAGCTGCCAGGCCTCTTTTTTAAGGACCAGACCAAAACAGGCATAACTCCCATGCATTCTGTTGGTCAGAGCATGTCACGAGGCCGGCCTGGATTTAAGGGGAGAGGAAGTAGACTCCAGAGCTTGATGAGAAAAATAGAATTCCATAGAAAGAATTGTTGGTAGCCATCTTTGGAGGCTGTCTGCCCTACCACAGGGCGATCTTGAATTGGTAAATTAAGACAATAGATGTTTAAAAAAAAAAAAGCCCACTGCCCTAATGTTATGCCCATATGCTGAGTGTCTTTGAATCTTGTATCTAAGAAGGGTCGAGAAGGGAGCCTAAGGAGGCCCATTTGCCTAAAGCTGATTCACATAGTGGGATTTTATGGTCACTGCTGCCTTTAAGAAGGGATCCATATATATAACGTTTAAGTCTGTTCTGATTGTAAGTGCTATTTGTATAGTGATAAATCTTCATGTAAATACCAACTCAAGTGATCTGATCTTCTCTAAAATAACGTGAGTTATGTTATGAAGTAACGAAGTGTTATTGCTGACTTTTTAAAACAAGTTGAAAATCGGTTTGGTGTAGTGCTTCTGAGCATGGACCCAGGATCCCAGTCTGGTGGGACATCCTTGGAGACCGTGAGTCTCTGCGCCAGAGTATTTTCATATGTAAAATCAGGATATGATAGCAATACCCGTCTCATACTTGTAACATGCTCCGATCACTGCTCAGAGATTGCTCAGTAAATGTCAGCTGCTGTTGATATATGAGTATGGGTCATGCATTTCTCAATGATGGCATTCTGGCATTTTATAGCAAAGAAAATTAAAAAATGGTTACTAACATTTAAAATGGTATCTGGGGGCACCTGGGTGGCTCAGTCATTAAGCATCTGCCTTCAGCTCAGGTCATGATCCCAGGGTCCTGGGATTGAGCCCCACATCAGGCTCCCCGGTCTGTGGGAAGCCTGCTTCTCCCTCTCCCACTCCCCCTGCTTGTGTTCCCTCTCTCGCTGTGTCTCTGTCTGTCAAATAATCTTTTAAAAATAAATAAATAAATAAAATGGTATCTAGATAGATAGATAGCGGTATATGCTACCTCTGCTTTGTCATGAATTCTAATGCGAAGACTAGTTATTCTCCTGATTAGGAGAGTTGACCTCTGGTAAAGGTGTCATCTGATGAGTGCTCATTTTGTTGGCCAGAGTCTGGTCAACTAGCATCAGCATGAAACCAGTGTGGAGGGTATCTGTTTTCTAACATAGGCTGATTCAACTGTCCTAGGTCACTGCTTCCCAGCTCTCGGCGTCTGACAGCAGGTGTTCGGTCCTGATGCTCGCGGAGAGCGAGAGCGAGAGGAACAAGTGGGTGGGCATGCTCAGTGAGCTGCACAAGATTTTGAAGAAAAGCAAATTCAGAGACCGCTCAGTCTATGTTCCCAAGGAGGCTTATGACAGCACTCTGCCCCTCATTAAAACAACCCAGGCAGCTGCAATCATAGGTACGGACTTGCCCCGTTGACCATGTTACCACAGTTGTTGACTAACCTACCATGTGAGCAGGGCTGGCTTACAGCTGGGAACCCCCAGGGTCCAGCATGGTGTGTGTTGTGCCCTGGATGCACAGGAAGTGCCTACTGAGTGAGCGAGGCCATTGAGAGCTATGTTTTCCAGTAAATGATAATAAGTACACTTTCCAAGTGTGTTTTCTTCTGAAAAAGCAACGGTGCTGAAGATTAACCTATTAACGATCTATTTTCTGCTGTGTGACTTAGAACAAGTTGTTTAACTTCTTAAAGCATAAGTTTCCTAGGTAAGATGCAGGTTCCAGTTACCTTGCAGAAGTGATGGGGAGGTTTCAGGAAAGTGGGACATGTGACACGGGTCACCCTTGCATATCAAATGCCCTCAAGAAATGGTGGTGTCTGTGTCTGGAGGTTTACATTTTTGTCCTGTTAGGTACACATCCAACTCTTTTGTTACTTTCTAGTCGATAATGAAAAGTTAGTGAGTAGGGTTCAAGTGCCTTCCACAATTTTTCCCTCCCAAAACAAGAAATAGAACTAGACCCAGGGTGCTTAACAAACTAGGTTTTTAATTTTTTTCACCCTTTATTGAATAAACATTTACTTCTTTTTGTAAGAATGGATATACTTTCTAATGACTGTTCCATTTAAAAAGACATGAGGTAACATTTACCACTGTAATCTGAAAGGAGATTTAATAGTACAAATTGTTATTGCTGTTTTAAGTTACTTATTTCAGTTCTTTGCACCAAATTTCTTTATTATCTGTTTTGTTCTATTAGTTTTACATAGTTTTACCTATTAACAGTGTTTCATATTTATGTCTTCCGTAGATCACGAAAGGATAGCGCTGGGCAATGAAGAAGGGTTGTTTGTTGTTCACGTCACCAAAGATGGTAAGAGAAAAGTTAATTATTGCAGAGTGGGGCGCCTGGGTGGCTCAGTCGTTAAGCGTCTGCCTTCGGCTCAGGTCATGATCCCAGGGTCCTGGGATCAAGCCCCGCATCAGGCTCCCTGCTCCGCAGGAAGCCTGCTTCTCCCTCTCCCACTCCCCCTGCTTGTGTTTCCTCTCTTGCTGTGTCTCTCTCTGTCAAATAAAAAAATAAAATCTTTAAAAAAAAAAAAAGAAAGAAATTATTGCAGAGTAACTTTCAACCAGATATTGTTAGACAAATCTAAACTCTAGATTCTAAATTCTAAGAAGAGCACGATTTGCTCTTATGTATTCTGTAATTGAAATTTTCCACACCTAATTTGTTGTGTTTATAAATCAAGATACCTTTTAATATTCTTTAATCCTCCTGAGGTCTTAAACTTGCAAGAATGTGTTGTGTTTCTTTTGTCATTCATTTAACAGCTCTGCACACAAACTCAGGTTGCATGCCTAAAGATGGATGTGAAAGATACAGCTTGATTTGTTCATTGCTCTGTTAGTGCTTGAAGAGGAGTCCCTGAGCCTGGAGCCTGCTTGAGATTCTCTCTCCCTCTGCCCCTCCCCCTTGCTTGCACATGCATGTGTGCACTCTCTCTCCCTAGGGGGAAAAAAAGAAAAAAGAAAAGAAATACCTTCAGTGAAACATACCTTAAAATAGGAGCACCATGGCAAAGTTCCTAAGAATTTAGTGCCAGTAAAAAGGATTTCCCTACAGATGTGGCATGCTTTATCACACAGGGATCCTTTGCCTTGGTTGCCAGAAATTGTGGTGCTGAATTTAACACCTCACGGTAGATGTGTGCAGTTGCCTTATGATGGGTATAATTATCTTCCTCTTTCTCCACATGATTTGGATTTCTTATTCTTCTGTGTGTATCTGTGTCTTTATTATAAGTTGACATACCATTTGGAGTATAATTGGGATACAATTAATAAATAAAACATTCTGCATTTGATTTATTATCATTTCTTTGCTTAGAAATTATTAGAGTTGGTGACAATAAGAAGATACATCAGATTGAACTCATTCCAAATGATCAGCTTGTTGCTGTGATCTCAGGACGAAATCGTCACGTGCGACTTTTTCCCATGTCAGCTTTGGACGGACGAGAGACTGATTTTTATAAACTGGCAGAAACTAAAGGGTGTCAGTCCATAACTTCTGGCAAAGTGTGCCACGGAGCTCTCACATGCCTGTGTGTGGCTATGAAAAGGCAGGTCCTCTGTTATGAACTATTTCAGAGCAAGACCCGTCACAGAAAATTTAAGGAAATTCAAGTGCCATATAATGTGCAATGGATGGCGATCTTCAGTGAACAACTCTGCGTGGGATTCCAGTCGGGATTCCTCAGATACCCCTTGAATGGGGAAGGAAGTCCGTACAGCATGCTCCATTCAAATGACCACACACTATCATTTATTGCACATCAGCCGATGGATGCCATCTGTGCAGTTGAGATCTCCAGTAAAGAGTATCTGCTGTGTTTTAACAGCATCGGGATATACACCGACTGCCAGGGCCGGAGATCGAGACAGCAGGAACTGATGTGGCCGGCAAATCCTTCCTTTTGTTGTAAGAGTCTCTTATTTTGGCTGTTTTACCTTTTTGTTTCTTTCCTTTTCCTTCTACCTCATCTCCTAAATATATTGACTATTAATAACAGGTGGTTCTTTAAAGTCACCCTTAAGGTTTTGCCTAAGCGTCAATTATGTTGTTTAATTATGTGAAGTAACTACCATAGTTAGGCCTCGGCCAGCAGGCTTGACATTACCTTGTACCTAGTTGAAGCTAATCTTTCTATGGAATATTTTACTTGTGGATTTTTAACCCATGTTGTATTTTGAAGTAACTCTAAACAGTTATCTTCATGGTCCCCCCAAACACAGTGCTTGTGAGCATTAACAGCTCATGAGACTTACTCTGGAGAAGTAGTTACTAAGTGAATTATTTAATCAGTTATGTAAAGGTATAATGCAGCATCTGTAAGAAGTGTTTCTCTGTTTTATATTTTTATCTAGATAGATATTTGAGATTGCCTGTTGCACTCCTTCAAGAAATATTAAGACATTAATAAATTATTGGATACTCATTACATGCCATCTCACTAGGACAAGATAGAGAGCCCAGCTCAATAGGCAATTTTCCCCTGCTGGTGCAGAGTGGGAAGTAGGGAAGATTCATGACAAGCGAGAAGTTGCATTGGATTCTAAGTGCTCTGTAGCATAAGTACCAAGTTGTGGAGAGGCCCGTGGGAGGAGTGTCTGACCCCATGTGCTTTGTTTTTAGTGGAAGATACTTGAACATGCTTGAATGCTGAACTGGGGAACTAGGGAAAGGTTGACTGTGTGGTAAATACAGGAAATAGAGTAAGATACTCACGGAGGCCAGAGAGGATGGAATTCAGAACACAGGGGGAAGGATTTGGGGCCAGAGGCGTGAAATCTCTTCCACTGGAACCAGGTGGGAGGACTGATGGGCGGGATACAGCTGAGTGTAAAGGTTTAGTGGGAGAAGAGTTGGGAAGGCCATACATGCTTATTACAGAAAAGTTAGAAAATCTAGATTAAAAAAAAAGAAAGAAAAATACTTGTAATCCTACCCACCCAAACCTAACTATTCTTAAAGTTTTGTTTCTTCTAAAACACGTACTCTTATCTGTGGTATCCTGTGTAGAATAAGGACTGTTTGGTAACCTGGTCAGGTAATAATTCCAAGTATTACTTCTGATATGGAATCAGAATATCTAGCTCTTATGAATAGCTCGGCCAGGGATGTAATACGTGATGTCAGCTTAGGTCAATCGTCTCATCTCTCCTTGCTCGTGTCACCGTCTTTCGCTGTTCATTCTTCCAGTAAGCGGCTTTGAACATTTACCCCACTCACGTGCCTGTGTCAGGTGCGTGATCCTATGTTCATAGATGTGATGGCAGGTCTCACCTAAAGATTGCTTTGTAAGTTGTTGTGCTGTCCGTATCTTAACTGGTTTAGGAATCAAATACTTTTAAAAAAAATGTAATGACATCCCTTTATAGAACTTGTACTGGAGAAGGGAATATTCCGCCATCTGTGTTCACAGAATCCTTATGTATTAAAGTGGCTGTCTGACCCACGGCATGTCCTCTGCTCATTTATGACTTAATGTTTTGTCTGCCTCAAAAATGTTTTGAAGTGGCTACTACATGAACACAGTAGGTTTTGGGTGGGATTCTGCTCTACAGTTATTTAGCATAGATCTTGCAAAATGTTTGGGGTTTACAAGTTAGAAGTAATTAGCCACTGTTCCCTCCTTCTCTTCTTGCAGGTTACAATGCACCGTATCTCTCGGTGTATAGTGAAAACGCAGTTGATATCTTCGACGTGAACTCTATGGAATGGATTCAGACTCTCCCACTCAAAAAGGTAATTTCATGTGAAAATATGGGCTAAGCACACTAATGAGTGTAATCAAACACTAATAGTTGGCTATTTTTCACTATTCGGGCATTTTCTGGTAGTCGGTAATTTGGGGTTTAGCTAAGAGGACAACAAAAGTCAAGCTGGTTAATTTTGTAGGTAATTCAACACCATACTCTTTTTATCACATTTAGTTTCACTGTATCAATAGGAGGATTGTCATAACGAGCAACTAGAATCTATACCCGGCCTAAAATGCCAGTGTCGTCTTCTCTTCAGGAGCTCTGAGGGAGGAGAATGCTGTCATTTCTTTTTTGTAACTGCTTTTCACACTACGGGATGCAGGCTCTAATCCTGAGACAGCTCTCACACGTTAGAAAGGTGGTTAAACTTAGAACCAAAACTGTTTAAGCGTCTCATGATTAAAACAAAAAGGTTTTATAAATTCCTAATAAAACATGATTTTCCCTTTAATATCTCCCTATGATAACAGAAGGAAATTTTATAGGTATACAATGACTGTTTTGCATAAGAGAAGACTAATAGTTTCATACAGATATATGTAGCTTATATCATTGTTTAGGGGGCAGGGTGTAGAGGAATAGGTACCAGAAAGTAGCCAACGTCCTGTTTCGAAGTCTGCCCCAATCTTAAAGGACATCAGCAATGAAAACTCTTGTAAATACTCCCACGTTATGTATAGAACCTAAAATATGGCCCTCTGGTTTGTATATTTGGGTTGATTATGTTTAGTTTTCTGTTTTATTTTTATCATGTGAATTTTATAATGTATATGAAAGAATGTGACCTTTATGAAGTATAATAATTAACCGCTGACTCATGAACCCACCTCCTAACTTTAGGGCCAGAACATGACCAATATCACTGCCTCTACCTGTGTCCTTTTCCCTTATCCCATACCCCTGCCCCTCCCCAGAGAGGGAATGTTGTAGGTATCGTTGCTTTGCTTTTCTTAAAATACAGATTTGGGAGGGGCTGCATATTTAAATATTCTTAAACAGTTGTTTCATTTTGTACTGTTGAGTTTTGCTTGCTTTTGAGCTTTATGAAAATGTTACATGTGTGTCATCTGCCTTGCTTTCTTCATGTGTAGTCCCAAGATTCACCCTTGTTGTTACACATGCTATGTGTAGCTCATTGCTTTTCACTACTATAAAATACTCTCTTGAGTGAATAAATCACAGTTCATTTCTCCATTCTCTGATTGGCAGACTTTGAATTATTTTCCAGGTTTTGCTACTCTGAACACTGATGTCTGTGTCTTTGGGTGCATGTGCAGGAGTTTCTTTATATCTCACGTCTAGGAGTGGAATTGATGGGGCACAGGGAAAGCAAGGGTTCACCTTTATAGGATAGTGTCATTACTTTCCAGAGTCATTGTACCGGTTCATACTCCCCCCAGCAGTGCAGAGGAGTTCCTGCAGACCCACATCTTCTCTGACCTTGCCATTTTCAGAATTCATAGTTTTATAACCATTATCAATGGTTGTAAAATTCTATCTCATCGAAGCATGAATTTGCATGTCCCTAATCTTTGTATGTCTTTCATCTTACTTTTGTTTATGTGTTCATTCTTATTTCTTCTTCTGTGAAAACCTAGTCATGCTTTTTGCTCACTTTTCTATTTGACTGGCTTCTTTTTTTATTAATTTATTGAAATTCTTTATATATTGTAAATGTTGAGTTAGTAAGGGGTGGGGTAAATCTTCTCCATTTGTGACCTATCCATTTTGATTGTGTATTTTGCTCAGCATTTGCTTTGCTTTGTTAATTTGCTTAGCATTTATTTTAATAACCATAAATTAATTTATTTTGCTGAAAACTTGTTATAAATTTTATTTTAGATTTCATTTAAATTTATTTAAATTTAAATTTAAGTTAGTTAACATGAGTTAACATGAGTGTATTACTACTTTCAGGGGTTATTGTTACCAATTTTAATGTCGTTATATGTGTATCATTCTTATCTTTTTTCTGTTAGGAAACTTTCCTAACTCAAGGTCATAAAGATAATAGGACCTTTATTTCAAAAGTTTTAAAGTTGTGCCTGTTGTATTTATGTCTTTAATCCCTGTAGAGTTGGTGTGTGATCTGTGGTGTGAGGTAGGGACTCCATCTGTTCCACGTATATGAGGAGTTGCTTTGTCACCGTTTACTGACAGCCCCCCTGAGTGGTACACAGTTTCATCTCTGTCATATGTGGACATATAGTTCTAATCACATTCATAAAGCAGCTGCATTGATATCTTCTTAGTATAATGATTTAGTCACTAATGGCTTTAAAAAGTCAAATTTAAGATTTAAATATATTTCTGCTTTTTTCCTCCCGAATAGTCTTCCTTCAGAATGTTGTCATTGTAACTTTTTTGTTCAAATTAGATAATTTTATAATTCCCATCAGAATTAATGTTAACTTTTGTTGATTTTCTGAGGGAGCTATATTTTGAAGAGGAAGGATAGATGGAAGGTCTCAATAGTGTGTGCTTTCTAAATAGGCCAGAAGTTTTATGATTTCATTTGAAGGTTTTATTGAAATACTAATTTTATTTATTTATTATTTTTATTTTAGGTTCGACCCTTAAACAGTGAAGGATCACTAAACCTTTTAGGGCTGGAGACAATTAGATTAATATATTTCAAAAATAAGATGGCAGGTAAGAAAATATACATTAATAGGATAGCTTCAGTGGAAATGTTCTCTCTAAGCTGACTGCCTGAGGATAATAAATAAGTGGCAGAGACCAGATTTAAACTCAGGTTTATCTTACTCCAAAGTCTGTGATCTTGGCTACTGTCATCCTATCCTCAGTCTGTTAAGATAAATGTCTGCTAAAAAGTCATTCTGTTTAATCTTGCGTAGCTGTATACACAATATATTTGTTGCTGACCTACCGTGTTATTTTTTTGTGGAGTACTGACTTAAGTGGAGAAAGTATCGCTGTAGGACACGTCTTCTGTGTCTTCTGTATTATTGATACCGCAAAATCTAACCCAGGTTTGTGGTGCTAAAATTGTGAAAACTCATCCAGAGTTCTGACTGGGGACTTTGAGAATACATCTTCCGACAACACATAGGGCTTTGAACTTCAGAAGTGTTCATATCAGCTCGGGGGAAGGAGAATGGATAGGAGGGTCCCAGGAGCACCAGAATTGGGAGCGGGGAGTGAGAGCCCCGGGACAGGAATCCAGAGAGGACGAGGGCCGTGTCCACAGTCGCTGCTTGCCTTCACATTTGATGTCTGGCATGTGCTCTTGGCGTTCTGGAGGTCTCTGGGTTGACGGACTGGTGGCTGTAGGAGAGGACTTCCAAAGGGAGAGTCAGAATTTAGAAATGATTCCCAGTCAGTGATGGATCCACCATGAAGCTAATGACACTTGAGCTTTACACCTCTCACCTCTAAGGGCCTGTGGTTAATTTTGTATCTGTCTCTTAGAGGAAGTCCAAATATTGGTATAGGATTGGCTCCACCCTCTTCTCACTGTGTGTGGCCGTGATGATCATGCAATATGTCCGTGTCCTAGGTCGTGTCCGTAGGATGAAGCCTCTGTCCACTTGCGTTCCCCGAACTCGCATCTTTCTGCTCTGAGCTGGCAGTGGAGGCGGAGCTTGGCGAGGGAATACCCGACAGAATTTCAGCATAGGTGTCTTGTCCTCGGGAAGAGGAAGGGGCCCCATTCCCCAGAGGCCCTTTCTTTTTCTCTGTCTTGCTCTGTCCTTCATCTCTCAGGGGCTCAAAGTGTTTCTGCAGCCTTCTGACTGTCCCACATCTCCCACTCCACCATCACTCACCCAGACCTGCCCTGCCCTCACAATTCTCAAATTCCAAAACTGTTTCACACGAAGCTACATTATTCCCATCCAAGGAGAGTGTTGCTTTTCCACTAATCATCTGCCCTGGCTTGCCTTGCAGGCTTCCGCTCATCTCCTTTTTCTCACTTCAGCTTTGTGGCTGTTAAAAATTCTGCAGATTGGCTTTTCTCCTGTTCCTTATTTAGAGAATGGCATCCATCATGTGTGAATACAGCTGCCTATTTTATTCCTAGAGTATGTTCACAAATTTCAACAGGTCTGGGGAGCCCTTGGCGGACAGTTTTGTTTACTTCTAGGTATTAAAATTGAAACCGGATGCATGATTAAGTATCATCTCCTCTCCAACTTCGGAAGAGTAGAAATAGCAACAGAGTCTTACCTTTAGTAAAGGAAGCTGGTGGGAACACAAGGTTTTGTCCTTAGTGCACATCTGGCAGACTGGATCTTGCAAAGGACATGTTTTATTATGTCAAAATACTTTTAGTTATCATTTACACGAATGATTTCCCGTTTATACCTGAGTGCTGCACAGCCTAACAGGAGGAGCATTGGACCCAGTGCCTGGAAGGTGAGGGAAGACAGTGCAGAGAGATTGCAGGGGGAGGGAGCAAAGTGACAGGACCCCCCAGGCAACTGCATTTTTCTTGTCTTCCACTAAAATTGTGCCAGTTTATGTTTATAATCAAATTAAAGTGAAACTGTACTTTGTAAGCTATGTTTAACTTTCACATATACCTGTTTACGTATGTCCTGGTTTAAATTATTATTTGCTGTGAGTATCAACGCACAACGTTTAAAAATGAGAATTGCGTAGTTTGTACAACTGGTGAATGTTGGTACTGTCTTAGAGATTAACAGATAAAAAGCATTTTTGTGCTTTAAAGAACATCACCGTTCTTGGTATTTTTTCTAACAGAAGGGGATGAACTGGTGGTTCCTGAAACATCGGACAATAGTCGGAAGCAGATGGTTAGAAACATCAACAACAAACGGCGCTTCTCCTTTAGGGTCCCAGAAGAGGAGAGGATGCAGCAGAGGAGGTGGGTATGAAGCTGAGGCTTCATGGTCGTGATACTGGTATTTGACTCGGAAGGCAGATATGAGCTCTGAAAATCTGTCACCCGTCTATGGTGTCAAAACTGCAATCATGAATGTACTGTTCAGTGTAGTTTTAATTCATACTCTCCAAAGTGTGAGTATGCACTGGATTAAAGTATCATATTGTAATTCATTGCTCTGTGTATATGAAATGCTTACAATTTTTAGACTATGGGCCTTTGTATAATAATATAAACAGCACATGCCTGCATGTGGTACATCTGTTCAGGCTTTAGAACTTCGGGTTACCTCTCATGAGCAAAGAGCCCAAAGGTTTATAGTATTTCCGGGCACATATAAAAACATCACTAAAGTGTTATCAGTTATTTTAAAAGACACATAAATTGGTCAGAACTATCTGTAAAATACAGCTTTGATATGTAAGTGCTAAGAGAAGCCTATTTTCCCACAAAATGCTCAAGATCTTTTATTTAAAACAGAAGTTTCTAAGTAAAGTTTTAATGGAGTATATTTTATAGTTAATTCTATCCTTATTAAACATGATTTCACAGTTTTATTTTTGTGAATAAAGGATGCTCATTTTTTTCTAAAATTATCTAGGTCAATCACAGAAAAAGTGTCTAAGCAGGTGTTTTATCTTACAGAGAGATGCTGCGAGATCCAGAAATGAGAAATAAATTAATTTCTAACCCAACTAATTTCAACCACATAGCACACATGGGCCCAGGAGATGGGATACAGATCCTAAAAGACCTGCCAATGGTAAGAGAAATGAAGGGAGAATGGGAACGGGGTTACGAGTGGGGCAGAGAGGGAGAAAGCATACATGTGTGCCTAAATCCATATGTAGTCTTAAGAAGAGATGTTAGTATGATGACGAGATGTTTGTGTCCATACATCATAATATGTGTAAGATGAGTGATGATATATCCCTGATGAGAAAAACACAACATTTGGGCATCTATGAGAAACCAGACAGATCCAGTTCTTACTTAGTTGCACACCCCATAAACTTGTCCCGTATCCAGACTTACTGTTGGTGGTGGAATACACTGCCAGATTTGAAGGGGATCTGTACCGAGACTCAGAACTTGCTCATGAAATCACCAACATTTCACTATGTTTTAGCAATTCAGTACAGATATTTGGCCCTTTTTACCCCCAGAGAACCACGTTAGGTTGGTCATTAATGGCCACACCTCTTACCTGGTTGGGCAAGCAAACCTTCTTCCTCTCCCCAGTTGCAAACATGTTGCCCTGTCTGTCTTGCACACAAAAATTGACAACATAGGAAAACTTGTTTTTCACATGAAGATTGAATTCTTGGACCCATTATGTTGAGATGAAGAATATTGGTGGAATTAGCTAATTTTCCAGGCTCTGTTTACCTTTAACATTCCAGTATCACAATACCTCAGCAAATGGTTGAAACTTTCACAGGACCTCTTTGGTCACGGGTGGTAGCGGTAGGTTTGTGAATCTGGACCCAGAGCTCTTTCTGAGGGAGCCTATCCTCTCACCCCACTACCACCACCAGCACTATCCTGCTGTCGTAGAAGAGACAAGGGTCTATCGCTGACAGAAAAAAATGCCAGGTAACATATAGTTTTATGTGCAGTCAGGTTTTTTAAAATAATAAAATTAAGCTTTTGAAGGTAGTCCTGCATTTGTTTCACGGGAAGAACAAAAAAAATCAGTCATTGAGTCTGAGTTCCTCACTGGAAATACCCCGATTAACCAGTTGACCCTGTTTATGAACCAATACAATGCTTTTACTGTTATCACCAGGGCATTATGATGACCTAGTTATAGTGCTGTCCCCTCCTTTAGGGAGTTCAAATCATTTAACAGTAGCCATTTATCCTCTTGGAATGGGGATTTTTATTAGCTGTGCTGGATAAATTATAAATAAAGTGTTCAAAATAGTAATTAAACTAAGTAAAAAAATCTAAGACTAAACATATTAAATAATAAACTGTTACACTTACCTATCATATTAAAACTTACACTGGTTTTTCACCTTTTGCCTGGGAATGAATGAAATTTCAGATTTCTCTCCACTGTTTGCTCATCCTGAGCATGTGTTTAAAGTTCTCAGGCTGGTTTTCCTTTATTCTCAAGTAAACATGACATAACCATACAGTCTAAACCTGGCCTTCTGTGCAACCACTTGTCCCCATTAGACCTCTTGATTTTTAGCATTTCTTGTCACTGATGTTGCTAACCCATGACTGCCTCATTGGCTCTTTCCGTCATTGACACACGTGCCCCTCTGCCCTAGAATGCAGTCCAGTTTTTAATGTTTCTGCCAGTCCTTTCTTACCTTGTAAGCACTTTTGTATTTCCAGGACAAAAAGTTGGTGTACATTTTTGAAACCTGTTTCTTCACCTTAATTTTAGTTTCACCTGGCCTTCTTCCCTTTACTAGCAAGGGATGTTCAAGCTGGGGCTGTTTATCAGCACCCACTGCACCACCTAACCAGTATTTTTTATATACTGTCCACCCAGACCCGTGCTTGTTTTGGGGTAGGCACTGGTAAACAACACATTAGTATATGCACGTCTGAAAAAAATTAGTAATATACATGTGTGTACCTGTGTGTATATATGTTTATTGAAAAGCTTGTGATATTTTAATATGTTCCCAGGTTTTAATATGTCCTTTCCGCTGAAATGGAATTATCTGTGTTTAATGAACGATTTCTAAAAATTAAGATGAGTTAAATTCATCTATCGTTAACATGTGTCAGAAGGGCTTTCAAACCCCAAAGCTCCATGTTATCCGTGCAAAGAGCAGCATGTACCCCAGACATTTTTATGTTTTAACTTACTCATATCAGTACTGCTTTCCTGGGAAATACTTAGGAGCTTAGAGAGTTTATTGGATATCTTTAGAAGTTCTTCCGTGTACCAAAATGATACTGATAGAGGATTGTTTGCCTCACGAATGTGCAAGAGATCATCAGGATGAGGGAGTCCTGGGTTCGATGGGAGCCCTTCACGCATGTGTCACTATGCCGGGAGGGTATTAGCAGTCAGTAGAGGTGGCATGTGCGACTTGGAAGTACATAACTGCCTTAGCTTCTCGAATCCTGGTTGTCGTTTGCTTTTTTTCATAGTGGGTGCTGGCAACAAAGGGCAGATTTTTCTCCAGTTGAATACAAGAATAATAATAGTTTACCTCCAGAAGATTTATTTTTGGCCCATGACATTTCTTCTAGCCTTTTACCCATCCCTAGAATTGTTCGTGAAGACCATGTTTCTAGGTCGGTGGCCCCTTAGAGCTCCACGAAGTAATATTGCTTCTTCAAGTCAAAGTTACATGGACATCAATTAGTTTTTTCTTTTTGGAAATAACCTTGGAAAGCACTGGGTTCACTCACATCTCCAAACTTTAAACAATATCTTATAGAAGCGCTTTCGTTTCAGTCTCCATAAGTTGCCAGGTTTTGTTAAGCAAAGCCGGCCATCCCAGCTCAGGAGGGCGTATGTTCTGCGTGCCTTCTCCCCGCAAGTCCTTCCCTCCAGCTCCTGAACCCTGTGGCCGCTCTCCGGGCCTGAACCTCGAAAATGCCCCTCAGAGACGGTGGCTGGGTGCTGAGTGATGGCTCCCAGATTACTCAGAAGTCATTGTACCTGAAAAACCAGAGTTCTCCGTTTGAAAAGCTTTTTCTGTATCTTTAGTATTATGTTACTTTATGTTTTAATACACCCAGACATGGAAGGGAAGATTTTTTTCCCTTGTTAAAAACAAACCTGTCCTTTGGGTGTCTAAGTAGAGACAGGTTTGGGCTGCTGAAAGTCACGCCAGTAATTAAGGTCTTCCTCACTCCCTCATTGCTCTTGTCAGAGGGAAATAAGATCAGTAAAACCAAACACACGTCAGAGTCTGTACATTCCAGGAAATGGTTTCCGGTTTCTACAGGAAGTTTCATAGCACTTCTAGCAAGAGGCTGGCTGTGGGATTGCAGCTCTTTCACGTTCTTGCTCTTTCTGTCCTTATTGTTGTTTGTATGATTCTGCCATATTCTGATTCTATCACATAAGAAAATCCTGAACCAAACTCTGAAAGTCTCCTTGCAGCTCCAAAAGTCCAGTTTCTGCTCACTTGATGCAAGTAATAAAAAAGAATAATTTTATAAAGCAAATGATCTTTTGCACATCAGCTGTTTAGGTTACTGGCAGGAGGATTACAAAATTTAACTCTCTAAGGCCTGAAAGTATTTCCTGAAGGACTCAGTTCTGATGTGAGATATGTCATTTCTGCTGCATGCATGCTGTGAAATGTCACATATGACCAGTGGATCCTTTCTCATGACCTCACGACTTCTGTTCTTTCTGTCGTTTCGTTAGCCAGGCTTCCCTTATCCATCCCCTCATCATCACTCCGGCCTGATCTCCTCTCCGATCAACTTTGAGCACATCTATCACATGACTGTTAATTCTGCTGAAAAATTTCTCTCTCCTGATTCCATAAACCCCGAGTATTCCCCGTCTCTGCGCTCTGTCCCTGGTACACCAAGCTTTATGACTCTGAGGGTATGAACAGCTGAGTCAGGGGTTAACTTCCACTAACCATGTGCGGACCTCCTGTAGCTGGCTTGATAAGTAACTCTGCTTGGGGTTGGGGGAGCTCATTTTGTGAGTGTGTGCCTTCGGCCTGCTTCTCTTTTGCTAAACCTCTGTTCTTCCTCCTCCTCTTCAAGTTCAAGTTCGTTTCTTCTTTTGAGGAAAAACGTGAAGACGGGGGAGGATTTCACTTTTAGTTTTTGAACACTGTTGGAGGTATTTTTATGTTTCATAGATTTTCCCATCATGATTTTCCCTTTCCAGAGACCATCATTAAAAATAGCCCCTGCGTGGGTCTTTATTCTATTTAAACAAACAAAAAGGAATCCCAGAATTTCTCCATTTTTTTTATAGCTCATTAGCCTAGAACTGGTTCAATTCAGAGAAAATTTTTTTCATTTAGTGACGTTCAAGTCTGTGGTAGGGCCTAGCCACAGGTCTACTTTGTACAATAAACCCCTTTTTGAAAAGCCACAAAAAACCTCCCAGGTAAAAATTATAATAGTATTAATGAGTCACAGGAAAAGTGAGAAAAAGAAGATAATCTCACTAGTCTTTGAGGTACTGATAGGCCTTTAATTCCAGCCAGGATCCAAGATATAACACCTAAATCAGAGAGAACTAACACAAAGAGGCTGCTTTCGGAAGGACTGTGACCTCTGCTGGCGGCCCCTTCGATTCAACCTGACAAGGCTGTAACCAGGGGCCTTGTGGTGGCCAGAGAGCTGGTGGCCATTAGCAGATTATCCATACTTCCATCAAGAAATGCACACTTAGCTAACTCCTCAGGAACCTTTTCTCAAGTTCATTTTGCAAATAAGATAGTTGGATTCTGTCCTGCAGAGCCATGTCCCACAGCACCCTCTGACTTAGCGAAGTAGTAGCACCAATTATTTATTTGTCCAGAAAACTAACTATAGGGTAAGAAGTTTATTTTTGTATTTTTGTTTGTATTATAAAGGTATCCTAAATTATAATGTTTGAAATGGCATTGACATTAAACTATATAATGTCATTTAAATGTCTTATATAATGTCATTTAAATGTCTTATTTGACAAAATAAGATTAACGATAATAAAAATAAGCTTTAGTTTGCTTGGTAACAGATTGCAGGGAGTGGATTCCAAAGGAATGTTGTAGAAATTAATTGGTCAAGAATTTTTCCCATGAAAGACGACAGAGATGTTCTGTAAGTCAGTCCTCTGCTAGTTAGAAACACTGTCGTCAGTGAAAGTTTTCCCCTAATCCAAAGTGTATTTGTGCATGGAAAAGACCAGCAAAGCTGGTTTCCTGTCACTTTAGATGGAAGCTGAACTCCAGCTGAATGAATGGTAAGCTGTCTTTGTGGGGTTTTTCCTCACAAAACGTGTCTTGTGTGAGTCAGTCTTTTATTACTTCAGCATTCGTTGTTACTAAACAACTGGTATATTTTTACAGGTTTCATTTATGCCATTTATTCTAGGGTAGGTTTCTTCTGTAGGGAAGGACATCTCCAAGGTATCATAAGGTTTACAGCAGAAACAGTAAAAATTTAAAGGTTGAAACTGACCTTCCCATCTCTTTTGATCTTTCCTCTGCTGCACTGTGTGCATGTCACTGGTGTCTCAGAGGTTGCTTCTCTATGCGTGACTGTTAAAATGCTGGCACTGTTTCTGTTTTAATTGTTTTGTTTTCTTAGAGGAAAAAAGGGAAAGCATTTGCTTTGAACAAATAACACACTAAGAATTAAATGGACTTTGCAGAGTTGGTATGTGAACCAAAATAGCAGCGGTTGGATCTGCGGCCAGCCGGCTGACTCTCGGCTGGCGTGGCTCTTCAGAATGGAGAATTTGGAGTTCTTCATGCGATATTAACGCGTGTTTTCCTAACTGCCCACCTAGGACCGTTGTTAGTTCTCTCAGGCATCAGTAGCCCCTCCTTCTGGTCTCAAACATTTGGGTCCATTGAGGCAGCCAAGTGCTTTCTATTCTCAGCCAAGTTCAGACAGCTCGTCCTCCAAGCCTCCTCTCGAGCCCTGTGTGACTTTCAAAGTACTCAGTGGCCCATTTTTCTACCTGAAACCCCAAAACCATTCCATAACGTGATGGAAAACTTCTCAAGCCAGTGTTGCCGAGTGAGATCACCACCACCCCCTGCCCCCGCAAAGCTGTGGCAGTTCCAGACATGCCTTCTGGGACCCACAGCACCTGCTCCACCAGCCTAGGTAGCGGGGGTGTGAACACGCATCCAGTGTCACACAGTGCAACATTTACTGGAGAAAAATACACTCTTCACTGACTTGCCTCCAAGTGGGCTTATATTCAACTAGTGGAGTCATCCTAGTGGATGTCTCATAGGAAATGGAAGCTTTGTTTCCGTTATCTGCAAATGTCCATGTAATTCTGCACTTCGCTGTCACTTCTAACCATTAACTTTTACTTACTGTTTTCACAACAAAGAGAATTCTTATTTGTTGATAACTATTTAATTAAGTACAAGGAGGAGCACTTACCCTTGATTGGGTTGAGGTTTACTTCTATTAGGGTTTCAAAATTTGGGGCAGGAGGGGTTATGTAGTCTGTTCCTTGCTCTGTATCACTCTGGTCAAGATAATTTATTTGTTGAAACTGAAGTGAGAAGTAGACATCTCTGCAGAAAATCACTTTGTCTCTGGCTGAAGAGTTTCTCTTTGTGTTTTGTTTTCAGAACCCTCGGCCCCAGGAAAGTCGGGCGGTGTTCAGTGGCTCAGTCAGTATTCCATCCATCACCAAATCCCGCCCTGAGCCCGGCCGCTCCATGAGCGCCAGCAGCGGCCTGTCAGCGAGTAAGTGCTGTCCCTGGGAGCCCAGGACCACCCCCCCCAACCTCTCCCACGCATGCATGCTTCTGGGCAGTGCCTAGTAAGCACACATGCACTTGTGAAGAAAACAATCACGGGGTCCTTTCAAGTTCATGGTCCACCTGGGAGACAGACATTTCATACCACAAGTTGATGATGGAGGCACCAAAGGAAATAAATAGGGCACCGTCACAGTAACAAGGGGTGGCCGTTGGGGACAAAGTCACACTGAGAGGAATTAGGAAGGTCATGTGCCCCTAATGGGGAAGCCATGTTTGAGTCCTGTTTGAAGAATTGAGAGAAGGCTCGTGTGGCTACCTGGTAGTGGTCAGGGAGTGACCCAAGAAATAAAGCACAAGAGGTAGGCAGGGGTCAGACCAAGCAGGGACGTGCAGAGCAAGCTGAGACATTTTATTTTATTAGAAATGCAACAGGAAGCCTCAAGAATGTGAAGTAGGGAAGGACCTTTCTCCAATTTACATTTTTAAAACTATCCTTCCAACTGCCAGATGGGGACTGGACACAGGACAAGAGTGGAGCGTGCATCCTGGTGGGGCTGTCAGAGTGGCTGGCAGGGGTGATGGGCCCGGGGGATGGCGGCAGAGGAGGGAAGAGGGGAGACGCTTTGGGGTGAAAACAGTAAGGCCTGGCGGGTAGTTAGTTGTGGGTGGGGAGGGAGAGGGAAGAGTTCCAGGTGACCCTCGTTCTCCTGCTGGAGCAGGGGGAGCCAGGGTTCTCGAAGGGCCGGCAGAGCATGAGAAAAGTTCAGGATCGTAACCTGTGCCACAGAAGCGGGATGATGTTCGTCATTCATCCGCTGAACATCCAGCAGACATCGAGTCTTCTGCTGGGGCCCAGAGGGTACAATCTTCTGTGACCAAGCACCTGCTTTCGGGTGGCTCACCCACCGTCTTTATTGCCAGCCTCTTTCCTTTCACCCTGAACCTCAGCATCTCTTGTCTTATACTCTGCACAGAACCCTGCGCTCAGGGGCCCTGGGGAGAGAAAACTCTGGCTCATGCTGGGCTTCTGCGCTGCTGCAGCTGGGAGTGACTGGATGGGGCGGGGAGGGGGGAGTGCACTGTTTGCCTGAGTAAAAGTGCAGGGATGCTAACAGCTGCCTGCCTCAGAATGAGAGGAGTGGACAGAAGCAGCATTGGACTGATTGCAGCAATTAGCAGTTAAGTCTTATTGAATTCAGAGATCTTTGGTAGTTCCTGGATCCACAAGCAGTGAGCTATGTCAGACAGTCATCGTGGCTTCTGACTGGGGGAAGATCACCTGTAGCCAAGGCCTGCTTTTCTGTCACTTTCTCAAAAGCAGCACGGCATCAGCCTAGAGCTTGGAGGTTGTGAGTAGAAGGTGCCCTCGGAAGTGCAGATGCATCCATCATAATCTTAACAGGACCTCTCTTCACGCCCACAGCTGGTCTCCAGGGGACACAGATCGCGCTTCAGTTTCACATGAAGTCACTCAGTTAGAAAACGCATCTGTTGTCTCCCGTTCTTGAGTGCTAGCTATCGGAATGGATGTCCTTGCTGCAGATGGGGCTTGTTGTTCCCGCAGCAGACGTTGGAGTCAGCCCTGCTCTGCGCCGGCTGTCGCTTCTAGGCCCTGGCGCTACAGAGATGGGTGATGCTATAGTAGTTACCTCTTGTGAAGAACACGGTACTCTGAAACTTGGATCGAAACAATGATCCGGGGGCACCTGGGTGGCTCAGTCAGTGAAGCATCTGCCTTTGGCTCAGGTCATGATCTCAGGGTCCTGGATCGAGTCCCGCATCAGGCTCCCTGCTCCACGGGGAGCCTGCTTCTCCCTCTGCCTCTGCCTGCCACTCTGCTTGTGCTCACTCTCTCTCCCTCTGTCCCTCTCTCTATCAAATAAATAAAATCTTTAAAAAAAAAAAAACGAATGATCAGGAGCACCTGGGTGTCTCAGTCAGTTGAGCATCTGACTCTTGATTTCGGCTCAGATCATGATCTCAGGGTTGTGGAATCAAGCCCTGCGTCAGGCTCTGCGCTCAGTGTGGAGCCTGCTTGGGATTCTTTTTCTCCCTCTCTAAAAAAAAAGAAAAAAGGAACAATGATCATTGATTATCTCTGTTTCTGAGGGTGAGGGATCTGGGAGCGGCTGAGCTGGCCGACTCATCTCAGGCTCCCCGTAGCTGTGGCTGGAGTGTGAGCCGGCAGCCTCTCACGCGGCTGTGGTTGGAGGCCTGTGTTCCTCACCAGTGTGGGCGTGTCCCTGTGTTCCCTGAGCATCTTCGTGCCGTGGTGGCTGCTTCCCCCAGAGCAGGTGGCCAGAGAGGCAGACAGATGGAAGCAGCAGATTTTGTATAACCTCATTTCCGGGGGACTCCCTGCCCCTCGTGCAGTGTGCTCTGGAGCACTCAGACCCAAGGGCCGGGGTGGGAGCAACGGGGCAGGTGTGAGCACAGAATTGGGAGGAGGCCCGCATGCATGGGGCTTTCAGTGTCAACCTTCGACCCCTGTGTCGTTGCCTCCTGAGAGCATCGCCACCCCGGGTATGGCCCTGACCACAGTGAAAAATCCAGCCCAGTTGGAAAAGTGATAACCATTTTATTTTCTTCTTATTAATGGTGGCTACATAAGATAATGGATTTACACTATAACTTGCTATAAGTTCTCAAGACTTGAGATGCAGAGAGAGTATTACAGCATTAACAGTTAAGTCTATAATCCCTTCTCCAAAACCTTGGGGCCAGATGTTGTTTTCGTTTGTTTTCAGAATTCAGATTTTAAATATATATAAGAAAGGAATCTACCATATAATGTGTTACATGCCAGCAAGATCCGGAAAGCACCCACAAACAGATCAATGTTTATACAGCCAAATTCATGACTGGTCACACTATATATAAATAAATGTAATCTTTTTTTTTTTAAAGATTTTATTTATTTATTTGACAGAGAGAGACACAGTGAGAAAGGGAACACGAGCAGGGGGAGTGGGAGAGGGAGAAGCAGGCTTCCCGCCGAGCAGGGAGCCTGATGTGGGGCTCGATCCCAGGACCCTGGGATCATGACCTGAGCCTAAGGCAGACGCTCAATGACTGAGCCACCCAGGCACCCCTAAATAAATGTGATATTAAAATAAGCTCTGTAGTCAGCCTCCGATTAGCTCAGATTAGGTTTCCCACCGCATGAGTTTATATCAAGCTGAAGAAAACACTTTCAGTTTTCAGGACTTTGGTTTTATGGAACGGCAGGTAAAGATGGGACCTGTAATGCAGGTATGCACAGGGCTGAGGTGGCCACCTCCCCAGGAGGGCCATGGTGAGGGGCCTTTGTCCCTGCTGACCCACCAGGTCTGCAGGAACCGGCAGGTGTGGCCTCCTTGAGGTCCTTGGTAAGAGGAAGGCCCTTCCAGGAATCCCAAGGGGCATCTGCTGTGTCAAGTGCCTCCTGCTGGCTTTCAGAAGAGTCCAGCTCATGTGAGAAGGTTCCAGAAGGACAGCCAGCCAAGAGAGGCACAAGAAGTAATAGGGGCCCTGGTGTCCGTCTCCACAACCAGAAGCACAGATCTTCCAGAGCCGAACTCGACATGGCTTCATGACGTGAAGTCAGAGCCACACAGATATTCCCACATGGCTCCGTCCTGCTCCCCCCAAAGAGGAAGACTCAGTCCTGTCAGCGGCCGGCTCACTGGGGAGCCTTGCCTCTCCTGAGGTCAGGGAGAGTCAGACACCTCACCACTCAAGCCAGTGCTCTTTAGAAGAGGCCATGCCCGAGTGTGTGGCCTCAGCTGGGACCACAGTCCTCAGACTGTCCCCAGGCCCCTTTTGCTGGTCAAACAAAATAGCCCTGCTTTAATGTGTTAAGACTGGAGTGGTCGAGTATAACTTTTCTTTGAAAGGAACATTCCCAAAGTTCATTCTTAAAAGTTGTGAATCACTGAGGTGGCATTAATTTCTTCCATTCTATAAATGGCGCTAGAATGGAGGTAAACGGGGTGCAGCCCTGCGCAGGCCCCACTGTGTGCCTACGGGTCACACTGTGTTCTCCATGTACCCAGGGCTGTTGTTCCCAGAAAATTCCTGTAAGGGAGAAGTTATTCTTGTGTCTACAGATGGAGACCGAGACTCAGAACGGTAAAAGAACATGCTCGAGGTCACGCAGTTAATAAGCAGAGCAACAGAAGCCTCTGGCGGTGTGGATTTTTTATTCAGAGTAACAAAATTTACACAAAAATAAAACACAGCTTGTGTGGCACTGAAGCAAGCATGGAATTAGGATGAGCTACGCCGTCAGTAAGGCTGTGATCCAAGGACCCAGAAGAGCCCCCTCAGAAAAGTAAGGCGCATCTTCATGGCAACCGTGAGGAGCAGTGTGTGTCTAGTGAGAGAAGCCTGCAAAAGGCAGACAGGGCGCTGGGGGGGCAGGTTCCTGGGGAGGCAGGAAGAGGAACCCCTGGTTCCCAGCCTGAGGTGCATTCCAGAATCCTCACAAGAGGCTTGAACTGGGACCGCTGAAGTTCTGCCACAGTTGGGTAAGCTCCACGACACGGTGCACGGTGTGCACACAGCGCTGGGGGCCGGCACGGGAGTCATTACGGTGACACGCTGGCCGCCTGCAGCCGAGGGCCCCAGAGGGAAGTCAGCCAGGAGTCTCCGAGCACGGGGCCTCTCCAGGCAGGTTCCTGTTCCGGCACAGATGAGGACTCGTATTTTCATGGTCATGAGGTACTTGAGGTGCTCAACACAGTCATCTTTTGGCACTATTACTGAATTCTTAGTGTAAAAACACTAAATTGGGATTTGTTCAAGCAGCAACAAATGGAAACAGTCACAGTCTGTATCTTATATGAAAAAACCTCGGCAGTCTCTTTAGACCCGTGGTCTGAATTTGGAAGCTCGGCAAGATTAAAATGTGTTTTAAGCAAAAACTAAAGAATAAAAAGGAATACTGAGAGTTTTAAATAGGTACGAACAATTCCCCAGTATTTCCAAGGGTTTTTTGTCATCCTTCTCCCTCCGAATGTTGCTGGTCCCTCCTTCAGGTGCTTCAGCTCTGAGAGCAAACTAGAATGTGATTTTAAAGAAACTCACCTCACTTTTGTATCCCAGGCTTCTCTCGTGAAAATGCTTCTCTCGTGTCCCTTTGCTTTTCATGCAAATTATCGAGCAGTAAAGTGATGGGTGCAGAGGCCAGTGGCCTCGAGAATGCTACCCCTCAGCGGCTACCCCAGGATCTCCCCAGTCCACACACTTTCTACAGGGCTGTCCCCTTGTCCATCCGCATGCGAAGCCTCACCAGAATGCTGTCCTGTAGGGTCCTCTGCACAGAACGGCAGTGCATTAAAGAGAGAATTCTCTGGAGGAAGCTACAATGCAAAGTGGCAGCCCATGCCTTCCCCGTCAGAGGGCTCCTTGTCTTCCGGAGGCATGGACCAGGGAAGTGACGCCCCAGCCAGGGACTTTGACGGAGAGGTGAGTGGGGTGTGGGCGGCAGTGACGTCACGTCTGAAGTCCTGTGTTAAAAGGACTCGTGCACTTACCAAAGTGATGCCACCACCTCGAGAGTGGCCTCAGCTGCAGCCAGGGGTCGGGACTCAGGGGCCTGCTCAGCCGGGAGCAAGGTTGGGGGGGCTGACATGGCTGGTGTCCTGGGCTACACTCTGCAGTTTTGCACAGATGTTCTAACAGCTTTTGTGTGACAGGGACCCACATTTCTAAAGGCCTGCAGAAAGGACTGAACATGTGCCGTATTCTGTGCCCTTTACTGGCCTCAGCAAAGGGGCTTCATTACTGACAGTAGACCAGTCACACCAGCTTACTTGCTCAGGTGGCTGCGGGTCGCCTATGGGGAGCCTCCTGCACCTCTTCTTCTCATTAATGTCTTCTCGGGGCCCCACAGGACTCAGATTCCCCAAGGCACTCCACAGCTTCCAACAGCTCCAACCTAAGCAGCCCGCCCAGCCCAGTGTCGCCCCGGAAGACCAAGAGCCTCTCCTTGGAGAGCACCGACCGCGGGAGCTGGGACCCGTGAGCGGCTTCGGTGCTCGGAGTGGACGCCAGAGCAGCTTCTCCCTCTCAGCCCCCTCCACTGCCCTGTCTCCACATCCGTCCCCCGCCCCTGCCTGGAAGGCCCAGGGCCAGCGGCAGGAGCAGGGTGGGGGCTCAGGGACGCAGACGATTGCACCTACAGCCCCATGCCCCCCACATCCCCTGCGCCCCCTCGACTTAATAACCACCACCATCAAGGCAGACTTCCACTGAGCAGCTTCGATGAATATCGATTCCATTTCATACACTTAGAGTTGCTTCCCATCATCGTGTCCCCCTCCCTGAAGGTAGCTCGAGTAGACAGACCTCGCAGACATGCGCAGGAAGAACGTCAGGCAGACTGGTTTTCCACGGCAGAGTCTCAGCGCCCCGGGCAGCACATGGGTCCCCCCGCCGGCCCCCCGCCCTCCTCCAGCACCCACAGCCAATGTCGACCTGATCGTTGCCAGTAAATCCTTATTCACTAAAACAGTGCATATTTTACTACAATACAGATTTTAAATAAGTACACAAATGTAGAGGTTAAATACTGAATGTATATAGTAAAAAGCATCTTGTATTCAGCAAAAGATGGATTCCTATATAAGAGAGAGATCATTTAATTTAAAGAAATGTGTTGTTTCTCGTCTGTTTTCCAGCTAAGTAATTTAAAGGGTAGGAAGGCCTCAAGCTGACATTCTAGACCTTGGTAGACAGTGCAAAGAGTCAGAGTTCCCTCTCTGGTCGCAGCCACGGTCCCCAGGGGCTGCAGGAAAACATTTCGAAACCCGGTCTGACCGCTCTCGATTCAGGCCCAAGCACCAGACCCAGCCCAGGACGCCTCTTCAGCAGCAGCGTGAACAGGCAAATTTACTTCCAGATCTTTCGCTAGTGGTAGAATTCGAACCACACTCCTCAGTTCTACTGTATTTTGGTATCTTCTGCAGATGAATGTAGAAATGTGGTCTCGTCACCTCCTGAGTCCTTCCTTTGAAAGCACGCAAGCGGTGTCATGGCTTCTGAAGGTCCCTAAAAAGGTTCCTAGACGTGCTTTCCTCCTGGGCTAACCCTGTTTCTCCCTGCATTGCCACGAGGTATTCTTGGCCAGGGCCCCCCTCAGAGAAGCCCTAGAGTTTAATTACCAAATAATAGAAAACCTCAAATGCAAGGACTTGCACAGCCTTAACCAAATACTCTTCCCCGCCCCCGGGAGAAAACAGAAGCGTAGGGCCTGCCAGGCAGGTGCCCCGGCGGCACTCCTGCTGTTCCCACCAACACTGGGAAGCGAGTGCGCACCCCGGAGGGCTGGAGTCCTTCACAGTTAGTTCCTCAGTTAAGCACATGAGCAGAGAAAGAAATAAAAATATCTCATGGAAGTAAAGAGAATCTGGCTCTCTTCATTTTTATCTAAATTTCTTTGAGAACTAGCGACGAGAGTTCCTCCTCTCTCAGCTTCGGCGAGCGTGGAGTCCGAGTGGCAGTGTCCGAGCTCCGTGGCCGCCCCGGGGCGTCCGGCCGGTGCTCTGAGAAGGCGCCCGAGGCTCGGTGAGGGGAGAGAGGGCCCGCGGGGGCCGCCTGCGCACGCGCATGCCGGCCGGGCCCCTCTCCGTCGTTCTGCTTTGGGGAAAGAAGTGTGAGATGCCCCTGTACGTCCGGATGCCCAGGCTCAGACTTTTGAGTTTGGTCCCTGCCCTGTGACCCGGTAGCCCCATCCATGAACTTGGCGTTCCCCTGAGGGGAGAGAAGCCACCCGCCAGCAGCCGCTGAGGGCCTGCCGCCAGCTGCCTCCTGTACTCCTGACCCCTCCCCGCCCCCGGCCCCGCGCCTCTGCCCTCCTCCTTCCCCGCTGTGAGTCACGGGACTCCGCCCGGAGCCATTCGTTGAAGCTTCGGCAACTACGTGTGAATTTGTGTTGCCTGTTGGTGCTTATTTTTTAAAGGATGCTTTTAGGATCCAAGTGTCACCCTGCCTGAGGTCCGGACAACACTGCGGTGCGTCACGGCAGGGCAGAGGAGAGAGCCCCCGAAGGCGGTAATGACCCAGGGACCTGCCCCCCGGCACTTTCTGGTCAGTCCCCACCAGCAATCTTAAGTTGTAGTAGAGCAGTGCCGGATAGGACCGATCCTGACGGCAAGAGTTTGGGGGAGAAACGCTGCCACGGGGAACAGTTTAAGGGGGCGGTTCTTCCTAAGATAACGATCCTTCTCCTGGGCTTACCCCCCTCTCAGATACGAAGCAGTTACCAGCAGAAGCTTCTGAGAAGAATGATCTGAAAAGGCAGAGAATGGGTTCTAGGGAAACAGAAAACCTACACAGGTAGGTGCAAAGACCAGGGAGGGGGTTATTGCTGCCCGAAGTCCTGCTCGGTTCTCTTGCAGGACCTTTTAAAATCGCACCTGGCAGTAGGCACGCATTTCACAGTAGGAATGACAGATCAGTGAGGCATTTCTAGAATAGTCTGTATGTATTGGTATTTTGGTGCTATGTCCAGCCAATTTGTTGTCTACCCTTGAATTCTAACTAGTCTTGTGTGCTCTGGGTATATAAAATTATATATATATATATAATATATATTATTGCCAAAAACAAAAGCCTTCCTCCTGGTCAAATGCTCACTAAAGCGGATTTCACTTTTGTAGTTCTGGGACACACGCACAGCCCTACGTCAGCGAAGCCCGCTCGTTCCCGGAAGCACGGTTGGAAGGCTTGGGGCTGGAGCTGGAAGGGCCCCTCAGTTCAGTTTCCCACATGGTTCTCGTACCCAGGCTTCTGGGAAGAATCTGAAATTCTGTTATATTTACAGCAACAATCTGTCATTCTTCTGCCTTCCTTATGGTTAGAGTCCTGTCATTTTGTTAGTGGCCACATCGACTTCCGTGAAAGACCCGCTGCATTTCTGTGCGCTCTTGGGTCTCACTCCAGAAGAGCCAGGGAGGGCGCAGCAGGCACCCTGAACGCCGGGTACGGCAGGGCAGTCTGTCCGTCCGTGGCAGCAGTCACACAGGCTGGGCAGACAAGGAAGTAGTCGGGCCCTCCACTCCCCCCGCTCCCTGGCCCAGCCCCTGAGTTAGTAGGTAAGCTGCATGACCGTTCACTGCGCCCGTTAGACCTCTTTCATTGTTCTGACTTCAGTTATCACTCAAGTCCAGATTCTCGGCAGAGTCCGGCTGGGTAGGAGGGCTGGCTTCCACTGGAGCCGTCGGCCACCCAGCGGGCCGGCCTGCCTCCCTTCCCAGGGACAAGCGCTACACACGAGGAGCCACGTCACTTACAGGGGCGAAGGAGGAGAACAAACCTGGAAACTTTCATGAAAACAAAATGACCTTTTTATTTGATAGTGTACTATTATTTATTTTATAAATCTTTTAGGGTTTTTTTCTCATTGTAATATTGTACAGTTTTGCATGGCCTAGGTGTAATCATTTTTTTTTGTTTGTTTAGAATATAATGCTGGCAAATGTGTGTATGGAGGGGAAAAAGATACTGCTTTGGCCTCTATTTCCTTTTGTTTGGTTTTATGCCCTCAATGTCTTAGAGAGGTTTATAAGCGATTCTCTGCTACCAGACAGTGGTGTAGATTCTTTTGCACAGAAATATTTAAGGTGGGATAGTCAAAAATGTAACAAGACTCCTCGCCAATATTTTATGTTGGTATCACGTAATATTAACCAGAATTTGATGTATTGCAATAAAACAGGGAGCCTAGACCTGACGGTCCTGTCTTTCTTTCCCTGATTGAAAGGTCTGAGCAGTGGAGGAAAGGTGACTGACTCTCCTCGTCTTCCTAGATCCTGCTTCCTGCCGGTCCCCTTCCTGGTCCAGGCGCCCACCTTAGCCTGCAGAAGGATGTGGGATTAGTTTAACCAGGGACTTTTCCTAGTTCCGCCCCGTAGCTCAGGTAAGGGTGACATTCCGTTCTCTTCCGGCTAGCACTTCCAGAACACGTGTCAGGCCATGGGTGAGGCCAGGCCCTGCCGCAGGCTTCCGTGGCCTGCTCTGTGTGCACCTGTCCCGCAGGGTACCCTCTGCGCAGCCAGACCCACCCCCCCCCCCCCACCCACCGGCTGTCACAGCTGTACAAACCAGGTAGCCGGCTGGTTTTCTGCCTGCTGTTTGCAGGGCAGCAGCAGATCCTTCGGGCAAGTTAGTGCCTCTGCTCCTGTCCCTGCCTTGGTTAGAACGGCCCACCTGGGGACACACAGCCAGCCCCGTGGGCTCTTACCGGAGGAAATCTGAAGCTGGCTGCGCCTCGTTATCCTGAGGCCCCTCCCTGGTTCCGTTTCTAGTGCAGTTTACCTTCCTTGCTGTTCTTGGCGGGTCTCTGCATTGTAACGTCTGCCCCTCCAGAGAGACCTGGCACAGTGGGTAAGGGCAAGGCTTGGCCAGCTTTCCATAAAGGGCCAGTGAAAACTTCTACTCTGTGGGCTCTGTGGCCGCCGTCGTTGCCCCAAATGGCGTTAGCGCGGGTACGAATGCGCACAGCTGCGTCCCCAGATGACGACTTCCACCCCGACATGGCCCGTGCACCACAGCTTGCCGGCCCTTGGGGAGCGGGGAGGGAGATCAGGCCGCATGGCTGCCCTCGTTCCAGATCCTGATCTTCAGCAGCCACGTGGGCTCTGAGCCGGTTCGTCCTATACCCTGCCCGCCCTGAATGTCCCAGAAGGCGGTGCATAAATGCAGAATATATGTTTAAAAAAATGCACCAAAACAGCCTTCAGAAGGGCCGCGACAGCTCTGACAGGGCTCAGAGCAGGTGGTGCTGGGTGCCAGGCCCCTAGCTGCCGTCACCGAGACCAGCCAGACCTCCATCCCGTCCTGGAGCAGTCTGCCTGTCCTTCACCATCTGGTGCCCCTGTCACGGTACCGGGCTGCGGGGGGGGGGGGGTCCCACGGCCGTGCTCACAGATGCCCACACCTAGGAATTCAGTTTGCTGTGGGAAAAGCCACAGGCCAGGAGGCTTCCCTCAGCAGCAGCCTGGCCCCCTGGGGTGCAAGCCAGGCAGACCCTGCCGGCAGGGGTCACCGCCCCCCCCCCACCGTTGGCTCTTCTGCATGCATGGTGTGTGCAGGGGGGGGCACACGGCTTCCCCCTCCCCCCACTCCCTCCAGTGATGGATTTGGGCTGAGCATTCAGGTGCATCTGGAGGTGGCCTAGGATGTAACACTGACCTCGGGCTGATCAGCCATCAGCTCGGTGCCTATTACGTATAGAAGAATTCACACCACGATGCTAGGAGAGTGGGTTTTTGTTTTTTTTAACATTGAAACAAATCAGACAGTTACAAGAATTGTACAAAAATGAACAGCCTGTGGTGAGCCCTCAGATCTAACCAGGTGACACTGGCACATTCATCTCCTTCCACAAAAGCCTCTGGGCCTGGAGGGGGAAAGAGGGGCCCCCACACACCAACTTGTAGCACGGACTGCTCCTGACCCCTTCCGCGGGTCCAGAAACTTCCACTTGTCCACAGTGCACAGCCCAGCCCAAGAGCAGGCAGGACCTCATCCAGTGAAACAGGGCTTTTGCCAGCACCGCTCGCAGCACAGGCTCGTGCAAAGGGCACAAAACACAAAGTTCATTCTAGAAACACACAAGCCTCATCCTATATGTACGTTCAGGCTTCTCCGTATTTCGGGTAGTGAGGATCCCCCGGCAGTCCCATCCCCCTCCGCTAGCGTGCCCAGGAGGGAAACCACCGGGCAGGGGGCTCACGGGGTGGGCTGTGCCGCCCGCTGCTTGCAGTAGTTGCTGTAAGCCTCCTCAAACATGGCCTTGCAGGGGAAGCGGGCCTTCAGCTTGGAGCAGATGAGGAAGGAGCCCCCCATCTTCCTGTGCAGGGAGTAGGTCTCCTCGGGGGGCGGGATGAGCCGGTGCTTCAACATGATAGGGATCAGGTTGTGGATCTTCTCGGTGGTGCTCTGCGTGCCAAAGTCGAAGGGTTCCTCCGAGGCGAAGGCCTCCCCCAGGATGAGGATGGCGTCCAGGTGGGCATCCTCCATGGCCTGGGCGGGGGGGGGCGCGCTGAGGGTCAGTGGGGCCACGCCCTGGCACGGAGCTGTCCCACCAGGTGGCATTGAAGGGGAGGAGGCTCAAAGGGGGAGTCTGATGATTAATGAGATTAAGGAACAGTAGCTGGGGCAAGCCTGCTGTGTGCCCCAGTCTCGCGTGAGGCAGGGCGGGCAGGGGCTCCGGGCACAGCAGGGCGGCCAAAGCCTGACAGCCTGGAGGCCTGGCTGCGGGCCTGTGCACCCCTCCTGAGGGTGGCCCAGACGCCCAGCCTCCCCCCTGGCAAGGAGGGGAAAGGGCTGCTCTCTCGGGGAATTCTGGTAACAGTCCAGGGAACAGGAACACAGACCGGTGCCCCCACACTTAAAGG